TCATAATCAAAAGTATTTTTAATTTATTCATATCTAGTAAATTATCCAATTGTTTGTTAATTTGTTGGTTTTAGAATAGATCTCTAAGAAGATTTTTCTAATTTTGGAACAATGAGTTTTATTGAACTCTAGATTTTGAATTTCATGTCACAGGAATGATAACACTTAATTTGTAAAATCCACAACCACTCGTTTCGGATTTTACATTTTTTCAATATTTTTATTATTTTTTTCTATGTGCATACCTTTTCTGGACTTCCACGAATAATTCGAGACCAAAATTAACCAAATCGGTAAAGGCATTGTTAAGTTATGACAATACAACGAAAAGTGGCATTGATTTTTATATTTTATTCCCATACATGATACGCAGGCGTAGTGAAGCGTACGTGCGTGCCGAGCGACCCGGACAAGGCGGCGCGCGGCGGGTTCGGCGGCGGCGTGACGGCGGCCGGCAACCCCGTGTGGCGCAACCCGTGCGCCGCGCACGTGCTGCCGCTGTTCCCCGCCGCGCTCGCGCTCGCCCGCGCGCTGCACCACCTGCACGCGCCCGCCGCCGCGCGCGCCCGCCATCCCGCGCACGCGCGCGTCTTCGCGCCGCCCGCCGCCGAGCGGCGCAACCTGCTCGGACAGCGCGACCACGAGCCCACGCAACACGCGCGCCCACAGGTACGCTCCAACGGAGCAATACAGACGGAAAAGGGGTCAATAGATACTAGAAAAACTCGCTAACCTCTATTCACCCCTTTCATGTATCTATTTACCCCTCAAATTCTATCCACCCCGTTTTACGGTACGTCACCTCATCATCTATGCTCAACACGAATCTTTTTTATTTTATAGCTCGGCAAACGAACTTTCGGATTACTTGATGGTAAGCAATCAGCTTATCATCATTAAGTTTTAGGTATTTATAATAACTATCGTGAGACATACTAAATTAACTAAAAATCGCGGGATTCTCACGTGTATATATTGAAAAAAGCTCTACTAGTTTCGAACCACAGAAGTTTTAGGTAACTTATTAAAAATATTTGGTGCCATGCCACAGACACTTTTGCTTATTAGTGCTGTCTTCGCTCTTTGAAGACATAGTTGACTGTTGCCTCGTCTGTTTCGTGCTACTACGTAGTTCATTTTTTTATGTTGTGAATTTTCCTTGTCAAACATAGCCACTATATAAATACTTGGTAATGTTAATATTTTCTTTAAAATACGAGTAACAACCATCTGTAATGTTAGAGTTTATACATGCTAACATGGTTATGAGCACAGAAAAACATTTTAAACAAGTGCTTGACACGTTGAACGCCATAGGGGACAACATGTGGGCCACGCTAGCAGAGGATTGACCCTCAACAGCAATTTATCGGTAGTCAATGACTTAATCTCCAATTATTTCTTCAGGAACGTATGCAGAGCTTCCTCCACACGCTCCACGAGAACGTATGCCACCTAGTGGGCGCTGCAGCGGGTACACTAGGCCGCGAGCTGTACGCAGTGCCCGGCCTCGCCAACTTCCTCGTAGACTCGCTGTTCTTTGGACTCGAATACCTGCCCGACCACTGGCTGAGACCCATCGTAAGAAACGCGCTGAAGCCGCTTCTACATCACTGCCCCCCTGCTCACTATGCAGATGTAGCCTTGCCATTGTTAGAACATTTCGCTCCATTCAGTAAGTACTCAATTTGTAACGATATTTATAGTGTCGTCTACTTAAATATTCAATAGCTTTATAGTTTAGAAAGAAAGAAAGAAAATTGTTTATTTGCACTGCAAAAAATTGAAAAACAAATTAGGTACAACTTATATTGAAATTGACCCGAGAGCAATAACTCGAGTATCGGTGCTGATTTTCAGCACTAGCCCGTCACTATAATAATAATATTAAATATATAATATGAGAGTACATAATTAGCTAACATAGTTTACTAACTTCAGCCCGGGGCTTCGCAAGCGTTTAAAAGTAATGTATTCCGGAATTTCTGAAAATACGCGTTAAAATACGCAAATCAACATTATAGCCTAATGGCACTCATAAACATTGTTGCTACGTATAAGTGAAAGAATTTTTGAATTCCGACTAGCAGCGATTCCAAAGATTACTCCCTACATACAAACTTACTTTTACCTCTTTATATTATTAGTATAGATTAATAGCAACGTTTGGCACAGTGGCTGACTAACTGCCTGCTCTGTAAAATCTCGAAAGTTCACAAAGGGAAAAAATACTTTTCTGATAAATAATCTGATTTTTCGTTTCAGTGTTGACCCACCTCTCTGTGCGTTGGGATTACATCTCGTCTCTCTATGAATCCGGAAAGTTGGAGGAGGAAGGTGGCAGTGAGTCACAGGAGGTACTCGAAGACATTCTCGTTAGGAACCTTACCAGGGAACATCTGGAAGTCCTCAAGGTTGGTTCTTCACTTGGTATATTGTTCAAAATATGCTGCTATTTGTTATTATATTATTTTGTTATAACATGGTCGTTTATATTCTGCTAAAGTCGAAGGTGCATATATTATATTTATAGTATGTAACTCCTACTCATTGAGTGTCCTGTGTAATAGGGCAATACAATAGTTTCCAACTAGTCAAATTCAATACTTTTATCCAATTGTCTAAAACAATACTTTTCCATGAAATTTGTATGAACACTGAGTTATGACGTCGTAGTATTTTACTAGCTTACTTATTTCTTAAAAACTGACTAAAAATTATCTAAAATTTAATGTATCGATCGATCGAGGAATAAAAGTATAGTTATTTTTCAATATTTTATTGTAGTCAAACGTCGAATTAATTTATTTTTGACCTAGGAAACTACCCAATGACCATTGTCAATTTTTGTTTGATGTATTTTTTAATTCAGTTAAACAAAACTTGTTTGTAATAAAGTATAAGATTGTGGATTCAACAGTCTGATTTTGTCATTGGACTTATGTTCACAGTGGGTGTCATCAGGTTGTTAATATGATGAAAATAAAGTTATTGTGATGGTGATAAACATTAACATTTTTATTATACGTTACAGATATCGTTAGTAGACGGCGGGTTGAGCATTGAGAGTTCAGTGGACGAGATGGAGGATGACACTACTACGGGCAGTGGCGGCGCTCAGCAGCGTGCCCCTGACCATGTCTCCGAGCTCGGGGCGCTTGTATTGGCGCAGCCCTGCGCAGGCCCTGCTACTCTTTACACGGTGCGATAGAGTACACTTTAAATTTTTTACATTTGCAATACCCTAATTTGGCTTTCCGTAATCGGTTAACACCAGTATATTCCGTCCATTTTACGTTGGCTGTTATACACACACTAAAACTAGTTTTAAAGTTGTTACAAACTAACTGAATTGACGATATGCTTACTTAGCTCGAAGTCGCGTCACGAATGTACGTAAACCGTACATGTCAGTAAATCATTTTAATTTAGCGAATTGTCAAAGAAAACTTTTATTAACACCCCATTTTTCTCGCAGACATCGTAAGTGCCTGGAGAACAGAGATCTCTGATAAATCCGATACTGCGATTTAGATCTCCTTATAGACTATTGTTCTGAAATATATTTGATCTGTGTACAGGTGATCCGCGCCCTGACATGGAACGACTCTCCGTCGTCCCTGCGCGGCACAGCGCTAGCGCTGCCGGCGCTGCGCGGCGCGCTGGCGGCCGGCCGCGTGGGCGCCGCCGAGGCCAACGGCGCGCTCACCGCCGTCCTGCAGGCACTGCGCCTCCACGGACAACACGACGCCAACCAGGCCGCGCTACTCGCACTCGCTGTACAGGTACTCACCACTATCTTTTTTATGAAGAGGCTAACTTTTTGAAGGGCGAAAACTAGAGTGTGGTTTCGTTACCTCAGTAAAATCTCCTTGATGGTCACCATAAACACCAACAAAGGATCTCGGGTCCCCTTAATATACCAGTCTAAATGAAGTTAATTTTTCGTTAACGCGATCAAAACATTACCGCAGTCGAAGTGGTTGGTTAAATTGGAGCAGGTCAATCAGAGAGCAAAAAGTCATAAACATGTCCCTTGTGTTAACGTTAAGAAAATTCGAACGAGCTTTCAAAATTCGAATTCTCTGGGTATATCGTACAACGTCCGATAAAACGTTCTCCGCTTCACAATTAGGTATTTTATCGAGAAAGCGGATTACCTTATAACTGCATTGTTGCTGATATTCCTTAACAAAACATAATTATCTTTATATGTTTATTATTTTCACAGACTTACGAGATCCTACGTCCTCTATTCCCCGGCATAGTGGCAGTACTGCGCGCGATCCCTGACGTGGACGCCCATGATCTCCACCGACTCGACGAGAAACTCAATTCGCACAACACTAAACCCTCGAAAATAGATAAAAGCAAACGTGACTTATTCAAGAAAATTACTTCAAGGGTAAACTCAAATAAATTATTTAATATCATTTTATTTTCCAGTTTTGCATCTATAATCACATACATTTTTGTAATTCTACTACTGCTCTTAATTTCCATATTGTTTTTTAATGCAGAGCTTTAAAATTAAAACACATAACATATATTTCAGCTTATCGGACGCAATGTAGGGCAGCTGTTCAAGAAGGAGGTATATATCCTGGACCTGCCCACGATGCACATTGTGAAGGACAAGCCGCGCAGTGCCATCGACACCCCGGAGGGCGCCGGGCTAGAACGACTGTTTGCACCCAGCGCACCCACTTAGCTAGCTACTTGCTTCTTGTTGACTATTTTATTATGTCCTTATACATATTATGTAATAAATCTATTTATACTCGAACATGCTTAAAATATTAGCTGCAGCAATACAAGTTGTATTACTGCAACTCAAGTTTTTGTTACTTATTAAGTGAGTTAAAACTGAAACTGTTATTTTACACAAAATCAATGCAATCCACATTATACATACCAGGGTTATTTCATTCTAAATTAATGGCAATAATAAATCAACATTAAAATGACAATAAATAATTTATTCCTATACAAGAACAGAATTATTTTTCGTAGGTATAAATCAGTTTAGTGCCAATAGGCAAGTTCTTTCCGTTAGAGACTAGTTCCACGGTGACTGCATTAACATCTACTTTCAATATCGCTGTGTTGTCTAAAACTACACATTTGCTCTCATGGTCGCCAGGGACGGGAATTGACCGGGGACCAACAATAGGGTCTTTATATCTCCACAGTTTTAGACTGCTCAAATCTGAAAAGACGAAAAAAGCCATTACACTATACATCAATATTAAAAGTAATTATTTTAAATTTGCCCCTTGAAAGTTGAATACTAGTAAATATTACGCTATTTGTTAATGAATTGTATATCGCAAGAAATTTTAATAAAAAGATCGAGTTGTTTGTAATATGTTCTTACCTTTTATCGCCTTTACTTCTTTAGCGATCTTAGCCTTCACTCTTTCGATGGTGTCACCATCAGCGAGTGTGGCGGAAACGGTGAACAGACCGTTGTGGGGTGTGGGGTTAATGAACGAGGCTTCCACTCCAGTTTCCACGCTGAACGAGACATGAGGCTGACCCGGCGCACAGTCTTCTCTTGTCTTTTCAGGAGCTTCAGGATCATCTGTATACTTTACTTCTATTGAATCCAGCTGGAAAATAATAAGATGACTAATTAAAACTCATCATCGATTTTTATTGCTCAACATACATAGATAAAGACTTTTTGAGATAATATATTGGGAAACAAGCTTCACATGATGGTAAGCAGTCGGCTTTGGTTGTTAAGAATTGAAGGATAATGCAAAACATCATTGCACTTACATCTAAAGTGTTAAGTAAATATGGTTTATTTTCCAAGAGAATGGCAGCTTCATCGAAAGGCAGTCCCACAGATAGAGCTTCAATGCCAATGCGCTCCATATTCTCTCTGGTTGCTTGCACGAAAGGCATAACTCGTTTCATGTATTTTTTAAGTTCTGGAATAGCACCCAGCTTACTGGATATCTCCTTATTGTCTGGAAGACCATTTGGCTGCAAAAAGTAATAAAAGTCATAATTAGATCAATAGAAAACAGGAATAAGAGTTTGAGGATTTTTAAAATATTGACAACATTAACTTACCCCATTTAATTCCTTCAAAGTAGTCAAAATAACATGCTGCCACTTGGGGTATTCCTTGGCGACCCAAATAACAGCCTTGTTAGGCTTCTTTTCTGGTTTCGGTGCCTCTCCTTTCTTTGGCTTTTTCACAGCGCAATGGTTCTTCAAATAGATACGGAAGGAGTGTGCTGCATCCATCAAATAGTTACTGGCTTTGATTGAAGTCTCATCAATGTCACCTGCTACTGGCCAGAGCTCGTGGAGAATACTTGTTTTCTGACAATACGAAATATATACTCAATAGGTAGGTGGTACAAAACGGATGTAAAAACAAAAAGTGTTAAGGTCATTTAGAAAACTTACATTGCCCATCAGCTCCCACACATGTTCAGCAACATGGGGACAGATAGGAGACATTAACTTCGCCTGAGTCTCAATGTACCTCGTCACCAGGTCCGCGTGCATGCCGCTATCGGAACATAACTCCCTGTATTTATCTCTAGCCGCTTGAAGCTCAAAGAAACCAGTCTTTAAAGCTTCCTTAAACAGCATCTTACAATAGTTTTCGTCAGTCTGATTGATTTTAGTGTTCATTTCGCTTACGAATACTTTGTCGTGGAAGTTGTGCTCTCCTGCAAACAATCAGTGTAGCTATTTAAAAAATATTGTTGTGAATACATGCATAATGTTATGAAGATAAGTTTATCACAACCATTTGTAATTTTGCTAATCTATTTACACAAATTTTACAGATACACTATACATTACTGATAATGAAACAAAAATTTACCCGTGCGCAGAGTGGATTTTGTCGCAATAATTTCCTTTACCCATTCAATAAAAGTGTACAGTCTCAAAATCGCAGCATCTGCAGTGTTCTCAACAAAGTTGGCATCCTCCACGGAATCTCCAGCATCTGCTAAAGTTAAGCGCATTCCATCCGCACTAAACTTGTCAATGGACTCAGTGAGCGTCAAAAAGTTGCCATCAGACTTCGACATTTTAGCAGAGTTCAACATAAGATGCCCATTCGCTCTGATGCCTTTGGGCCATTTGTCCTCTTCTTTTGGCCATATAGCACAGTGATTGTAGATGTAGAATGTTAAATGATTTTGAATCAGATCCTTCCCTGACACTCTCAGATCAACTGGATACCTATAACAAAACAAAAAGTTGAATAGAAAGAAAGAAAGAAAATGCATTTATTCGGCATCAGAGATGAAAGACAGAACAAAACAAAAATACAACACAAAAAACAATAAAAATGTTAAAAAGACAGAAAAACAAAAATACGCTAATTATACAGTTCTACAGGGTTGGCAGACATATCTAAACCGAATGGGTCATCAACTCAGCAAAAAGCTGGGCACACTGAGCACCCAACTGATTTTCAGTTGGCACACCTGCAGTGACACATAAATAAGTCATATTATAGTTAATAATGTGTCAAGTTAAAAGAATGGAGGTGTGATAATCAAATATAATAAATAAATATTTACCAAAATTGGAATGATTTCCTCATAAGGTCCAGGGATTCTTTGGGGATTTTCGTATTTTTTGGTAAAGGTGCATCTTTGAAGAAAATATAATCCCAAACAGCCATTGTCATGTCTTCTGGTTTTATTTTCAGAGCATTTTCCTTGTTCCCCCTAAATGTATCACCTTGTATAAAGTGGGCGATTGTATAGTATGCATTGTAGATAGTAGAATCTGACAGTGATTCTATTAACCATTGCTGATCCCAAGGCAGTTTTGTACCTGAAGAAAAGAACATTTATTGTCAGTCCTAGTGACCTTATCAACAAGATTTTTTATTTATTCTATAAAAGGCCTCGACAACCTACCTAATCCATACTGCCTTGAGCAAGCATACTCATGTAGCCATTTCAGTGTGGCCTGGAAATTCTTTCTGACTTCATCATGATAAGTATTCATGGCAGCCAGAGCTTTTTCCACCTGACTCTTCCACTCTTCATTACCATAATCCAAGTACCATTGATTACAAAGTGCTACCACACATTCATCTCCTGACCTTGAAATAATGGTCTTTTCAGGTTCATAATATATAACAGCACCCTTCTCCTCAACAAGTTTAGTTTGCAAATTCTTTTTAACATCTTGGATTTTTTTCCCTTTGTATTCTCCAACTAGTAGCACACCATCATAGAATCCCTTCAAGTAAACCATCTCTTTGGCTTGTGTCAGCTTATCTTTATCATTCTGACTTTGAATTTTAAGTTTGTCATAGACATGAACAGCTGATAAATTTCCAAATTCTGGAATTTCTAGAATAGGTACAGGTTTGAATGGGAGTACCATGTCATCTTGGATGCCATACTTTTCACGAAAAGCTGGTTTCTTCTGTAAGTCCACAAGTGCCGCATAATCATCAGGAGAGTCAGAGGGTACACTGGTGACGATTCCAGTGCCCTTGTCCTCCTTGATGGTCAACATAGGAAGAGCATATATCTTTGGGTAACAAGTAAATGGGGACTTCAGAACAGTACCCATTAAGTCTTGTCCAACAACTTCCAATAATACTTTAACTTCTCCATCCTTTTCTGTGAAACCTTGATAAGCCATATTCCTAGCTGCTCTTTTTGTGCAAATAAATATTCCATCATTAACAGTCTCAAAAGCAATGTATTTGATATCAGGATGGACCCAACAGTTAGTTTGGCCATACATTGTCTCTGGTCTTAAAGTTGCTGCAACTAAACTAACTTTTTTACCTTGTAAGGGCCTGAAAATAATAACGATAATTAAAAAAGGCAGGTGTGAGGCAGATATTTTGATATATATAATATGTAACTAGCTAAAGATAACATACTTGAGTACTTTTGGGAAAGGTTCAATAACTTCCATTTTTAAAAGTGTGTACTCCTGAGGGCCGGCTCCCTCTCCTGTACTCCTGTCATGGTCCATACAGGGTTGCTTGTCCAAAGGTGAAAATATGGTGTAACGTTTACCATACATGATCTTATTGCGTTCTTTGAGATGGTAGAATTGCCACCTGATGAATGAATCATAGAATGGATTTGCATCGGTAGTGATGAATTTTCTACGCCAATCAACCTGTGAAATAAAATCATTTTTTAATTATCTTAAGAAAGCAGTGGTCTTACTAAGATAAAGAAAATAATACTAACATGAATACCCATTCTCTTAAGATCTGCTACTGCCAATGGAGGGAAATATTCCAGCCAGTGACTCTCATCAGCAAAAAGTTTGATTTCCTCTTCAGGAACTCCCAGACTCTGCATGATTTGCCATTGGTACTTAGCTGCTCCCGTCTTTGCTACTGCTTTACTTTTTTTCCCTTTGCTCTTATCCTTTGGCACAATATCTCCTTCCTCCTTGACTACAACCTCTTCTTCTTCAGGGAATACCGGTGGGCAACCATAAAGAGCCATTTCTCGTTTTAACTTATCAGCACAAGCTTTTATTGGCATGCCAGTACAGTGAAAACCAAAGGGAAACAAAACTTTTCTTCCTTTTAGCCTGTAGTATCTTGAAGCAAACTGGAAAGTAATATATTCATTTTAATTCGTCAAACCCCAAGTGAATGCTAGCATATGCATATCTATTGTCTCATATTACCAACATTGAAAGGTTAATATACTTCTTAAATCTTTTACTTTTAAGTATAAGAGAAGTATTAGTACTTCTAAGATTAACATTATTGCATCATAGTGATAGGCAGGTGCACATACATTTGTCTTTGGCATTCTGTTGGTAAACATCAATGACTTATCAGGACTTACCTCACACTTTGATAGCGAAAATGTATGACCAAGATGTAATCGGCCATTCATGTATGGGTAAGGAAACGTACACATAAATTTTTCATGAGGTTTCCCATCATTTGGTGCTTCCATTTCAAATATTTTCTCACTATCCCATTTTGCCTGAACCTTCTTCTCAATATCTTGAAGATATTCCACCTTAAAGGTGCCTTTCCGATCTAAAGTAGCCTGAAATATAAATAAACTCAGCATAACTCCTCACAACATATGCGATAAAAATCCCGGTTTGAAGATAGGTTGAAAACCGAGTAACAAAAAAAACAAGAATATACCTAGAACAGTGAAATAGAAAAAACTTAGATGTTGGATTTAGAATTCTTACCATTTTAATTGGGTTTTATTCAGCAATTTCAGTCATGCACAATTTCTTCCTAATAGGAAAGGAAGGAAGGATAGAGCGATATGCACGTTGCCACGAGACTGACATTCCTGTCAAATGACTGTCATTATTGTCAATGTCAACAGTCAATGTAACATCTTTCTAATCACTATTATTTATATTTAATTTAAATGGAAAGCTAAAATACAGTACAACAAGTACTTTGCAGTTATTTTCAAAAATTATTACAGCTTGATCAATCCAATTATTCCAATGCCTACGTGAGTACCACTTATGATAGCACATAGTTTTAATTAACGAAATCTAATCAAATTAGCATAGGGGTATATTTAAAATACACGAATTCAGTCTTTATGAATTCTAAAACTGTTTCCAAACTAATAAGTTATATTCCATAGATAATAGTTTGCAGAAAAAGTTAACATTCACTAGCCTGCCATTTAAAAAATTAAAATAAAAAAATGGCAAAAATTTGGCGGCAGTGGCGGTACGCGAGATCTGTCATTTTACCGGAAACTTCGCCCGCTACTCCTGCTTTCAACAACGCGTTTTCAGACGGTTGAAGCAGAATTTTGCTTGTATTTATTGTAGAATCAGTGATATCTCCTGATACAATTGCCTCGTGACAATGGCGCCAAGGTCTGCTAAAGCAAAGGTATGCTAAATTCGTTATTAAAAGCACTTGAAATCTTAATATTTGCATTGACTTTACAAACGGGTTTTGCATTGTTATCGATGACCACTTGAGTGCTAGTGTCAGACTTATTACTTTACAATTTATGTTAAATGAAATGCTCCTTTAAATTTTACACTGCGCTTTGCAATACGAGAACTTTTTCCAACTTTTCTCTTTAGTGCCAGACACGGCCAGTTCGGCTGATTACAGGAACACATGTTGAAGCATTATGAGAGTTGTTGGCGGCAATTGGCGCCACTTTTCGTTGCACTAGAGATCCATTGCATCCATGTTAAATAAGGTTGCATTTACAACCCGCCTAAACGATAAAACTAGTGTAATAACTGGAAAATCAAGTACTAAATAGTGATCATAATATCCGACTTAAATTTATTAATGCAATCAGTTACATTTTAATTTTTTCTCTATGCAAATGTTTGATGATCTATGAAAGTGTTATATCCTAGTCTGTATTTTTTTGCAGAAAGCTGCTGATGTTAAAGTAACAGATAGTGATGCTCCCAAAAAAGGTAGAGGAAAAGCAAAAGTAGCAGAGCCAGAGCCTGAACTAGATGTTGAACTGAATGAGAAATCGGCCCCAGTCAATGACAAGAAACCAAATAAGCGTGGTAAAAAAGCTGTAAATGATACTAGTGAACAAGTAAATGACAAAGCAGAAGAAGTAGGGCCACCTGCCAAGAAAGGTCGTAAGAAAAATGTAGATGATACAAATTCTGTAGACAAACAAGCATCTAATGGTGATCAATCTGCCGAAGAGGAGTCATTAGCCCCAACTGAAGAAACGGAACACAGTGATGAAAATGTAGAAGAAACCAATGGTCATACAGAGGAAGCTCCTAGTTCTGGTAGAGGTCGCAAAAAACAGGCCAAAAAAGAACCAGCAAAGAAAGCTGAACCTAAATCTGGCAGAGGAAGAAAACCTAAGCAAGAAGCGGTAGAGAGTGAAGATACACCCAAAGAGGAAGTTGAAGAGAAATCTAAGTCAGCTGCTAAGGGCAGGGGAAGAAAAGCAGCTAAAGTTGAAGCAGACCCTGAAGCTGAAAAGTCTGATACTCCTGAGGAGGAGATAAAAGAAAAGCCTGCACCAAAGGGCAGAAAGAAGGCTCCTGCTAAAGCACAGGAGAAGGAAAATGATGTAGATGAAGACGAGGATGCTGAGAAAGAGGAAGACAAACCTGAGCCCAAGAAAAAAGAACCAAAAGGTAGAAAAAACCAGGGAAAGAAAGCACAACCTAAAGAAGAAGCAGAAGATGAAGAAGAGGATGAAACACCATCCTCTAAAAAAAGGAAGGTAACCAAAAAAGGTGAATTTAAATTTGTCTTTGTTTATATGTTTAGTATATCAGTTTTAGATCAGATAAACTTAAAAACTATTATTTTATTTCCAGCTGAGAAAAATGAGGAAGAAGATGTAGCAGTAGAAGTGAAACCTGCTAAAGGTAAGAGGGGTCCTAAAAAACTTGAAGTGAACACAGAAACTGATGAGGAACCGCAAGACAATGAGCTCACAACTAAACGTCGACGCAAGGGAACTGATGAAAAGGGTAACTAGTACTATTGATTATAATTTAAACATTTGACAAATATTGTTTTGTGTTACTATGATTAAGTGTGTTTTATCATTAAATATTCATAATAAAACTTTTCCAAATGTATATTTTCAATGCTTTATTATTTTTTCTACCTTTCTATATTTTTTAAGTATATACAGAATTAATATAACTTAAATTATGTTTAAGTAATTACTTGGTATGCTTCATAAACTACATACTTTAATAAGAACTATCTAACAACTGGATTTGATGGTAGATTGGAATAGCAAAATTACAGTACATACTTCTTGGTCCTCATTAGAATATTACTAATTTAAATTAGTTTTTAGGCAAGGTGACTGATTAACATTTTAATACCAAATGCAAGCATTAGCTTTAAAACTTGGCATGATAGTTATATTTATGGTTACTGGAGGTTATTAGTTTATAAGTCATGGAAATATTTTTTATTCATAAAAATACATGATTCTGAAATACTTACTGGGAGTATGCTTCTGTCCATTAAAAAAAATTGTTTTACGGAAATCTACATGCATGTTACATTGGATTTACCAGAGCTTACTTATCATTCAGAAGATGGCGATAATACTCTGATAAACGAGACAACATACGACGATTTCATTTCGACAATGCATATTGGTTGTGGCGAATATTTTGTCGTATGTTCAGTTTCAAATCACACTAATATATTTCAGCATCTGCAGGAGACACGAAAAAGAAAGCTCCTCCCAAAAATAAATCTCTAACAGATTATGAATCCATTGACTTCTCGAATTCTTCCACTAATAGTCAGGGCAAAGAATGGAACTTTAAAATATCAAGTTGGAATGTAGATGGTATAAGAGCGTGGGCAACCAAGGGCGGACTTGATTATTTCAAGTATGAGAAACCTGACATACTTTGTATACAAGAAACCAAATGTTCACAAGATAAATTACCAAGTGAAATTGCTAACATACCTGGCTACCACGCATACTGGGTGGCTGGCGACAAGGATGGCTACGCAGGCGTAGGAATTTATACAACAAAACTTGCAATGAACGTCGTATATGGTTTACAAAACGAGGAATTGGACAGCGAAGGTCGTATAATAACAGCGGAGTATGAGCAATTTTATTTAGTATGTACATATGTGCCTAACTCAGGGCGTAAACTAGTCACACTTCCGAAAAGACTGCAATGGAATGAAGAATTTCGTAGACATGTTAAGGAACTAGATAAAAAGAAGCCTGTGATAATTTGTGGCGACATGAATGTTTCTCATAAAGAAATAGGTATGTATCATGGCTTGACACGGTAATCTTACATTGGGGTGGTAACTTCTCTTGTGAATAAAAACAAAACTCAATTATCATTTTCAGATTTAACCAATCCTAAAACAAACAGAAAGAATGCTGGTTTTACTGACGAGGAGCGTGCTGGAATGACAGATTTACTAGGAGATGGGTTCATCGATACTTATCGACATTTGTACCCAGATAAAACTGGAGCGTATACTTTCTGGACTTATATGATGAATAGCCGGGCGAAAAACGTAGGATGGTAAGGCTTGTTTTATTTACTTATTGGGTAATACAGTTTCCTTAAACCAACAATATCATGAACAATAAACGAGGTCAAGGCTGGTAGAAGCTAAGTAGGTGCATATAGATAGAGATTTCGAACAGGATTCAGGATGATTAAACATTGGATTAAGTGTGGAAGAACCATGCTTCGGCACGAATGGGTCGGCTCGACCGGAGTGATACCACGGCCTCACAGAAAACCAGCGTGAAGCAACCACAGCGTTGTGTTTCGCCGTGTGAGTGAGGTTACCGGAGGCCCAATCCTTCCCCACCCCCAATGTCTCCTCAATCTCTAAATCTCCAAATCCCTAATCCCTAAAAGGTCGCCAACGCACTCGTAACTCCTCCTTTCGGGAGCGAGAGTCCATGGGCGTCGCTGATTGCTTACCACTAGGTAATCAGTCTGCTCATTTGCCGATCTACTACATAAAAACAAATTGGATATTTGTCGGTAGTCAAGTCGTAAGCACAACTGCTGAACAAGGGTTTAGATTCCCGTTTGCACAAAGTACTGTAGCGACATCTATCGCACAACCATAACAACAGAACCAATCACGTGCAAGATTCTACATCGCGCAAGTGAAGTTTACGCGCTAAATAGCACAATAGAAAAATCCCGACAACAACTGTCGGGCAGTAGCCCACCAGGCACAAACACCTCGCCTGGTCGGAGGATCCTCCCTTTTCAATGGAGGATGAGGGACTTTCCACCCTGTTCCTCATACCTCTAAAGTACCAATAATATGATTTTTGGATGTTTCCGAAATTCTGTGAAGTCTATTACTTCACATATACTTGTGGAATTAATGATAAAAAGTCCTGTTGTCTTCTCTTCTGGATAGAGACATGAAGTTAAACATATTTTGTATAGCTGGGTATTATTATTTTTCTTTGTAATAGGTACAGGAAGCGAAAATTGGTTTAAATTGTAAGTAGGTTATTTAGTTTCCTCCCTTTATTTTTTCTGGAGAGATGAGCATTCCGAACAGTGATTGGCAAATAGGTAGGTATGCCTTTTATGAAACTCGTAAGTTTCACAACGCACGGCTATTTGTTCCAGATTCTGTAAAATCTAGATTGTCATCTTGAATAAATTTCCGTACGTTTAGACATTATTTTCATATCTATTATTAGATGTGTATTGCTTAAAGGATGCAACAGCTAACACAAAACTCAACTAGTTTTTAACAAAAGTAGCGTGGTGATTGTCAACATGGCTAATCTAAATTATGAAGTATTTTTGTACGGTGTGAGGTATTCATTGAATGAATTAAACAGTACCACGCATTAACCACTAATAAAGCTATTTCTTTTGTTTTCTTGACTTCTGACTGACTTATTTTCTTGCGAGATCTAAGAAGATGGTCCTTGGGGTGCGCCAGACTAATGGTCTAGCGTATCCGCTTCAATCTTCCAAACATCGTTATGGAGTTTTGGAAGGTTGAGCCAGGCTAGTCCTATAAGAAAAATTGCTTAGATTATAAATATTTAATAGGATTTTATTGTTTCAGGCGTTTGGATTACTTCATAATATCGGAAAGGTTGCTACCTGCGCTGTGTGATAATGTTATAAGAGACAAGGTTTATGGTAGTGACCACTGTCCCTTAACTCTATTTCTACATCTAAGTACTGCTGACAAACCTAAAGAATGACTTTCGTAAGATCGTTTATATTCATGTTTTTTTGAAACGCATTTTGATCTGAACTGATATTATTTTTTTGTGATTATTTTTGTATTTTTTTTGTGAACGACATACTTAAATATAATAAAAATGTTACTCGAATATATTCTCCTTGTGTTTTCTTTTATTAAAAGGTATGATTACAATCTATACTAATATTATATACAGGTAAAATTTGTAAGTTTGTATGTAGGGGGTAATCTTTGGAACCGCCGGTCGGATTTCCATAATTCTATCACTGAAATATAGCTCCAATATTCCTGAGTGCTATAGGCTATAAAACATCACGCTACGATTAAATGGAGCCGAGCAGTGAGTGAAACCGCGCGGGAGTAGCTCGTTTTAAATAAATTGGTGGAAAAGGTGGTCTATTTATGGACCCTTCAAAATTCACCCGGCTATAAAAGTCGAATTACTTTTGTCGCGGGCCCTCTTTCAGTTAGATCCCTATCTAATATTGGTGATATTATGTACAATACTGAATACCCTTCGTGTTGTCATCAATTGAACTTTACTATGGGCTATGCACTTCGAATCCGCTATTGTGGAGAGCACTATTTCCACGTAAACGACTAACCACTAACCATCGTATTTCACAGCATATTGTAGGTAATACACATTTGCCTCAGCAGAAAATCTGTTATACTTAACGATCAATTCCTGTCAGTGTTTGTGTGTAAAAATCAATTAGTGTTAATATGTTACCAATATTATTATTTTATATTTATTTATAATTGATTAATCGTAACTGAGACTTTTCAAAATAAGTAGATATAAGACTGTATAGATAAAGGTAACGTTAATAAAACGCACTAAGGCAGCTTGCTATTTACGCCTTGACAGAGATAGTTCAACGCACTCGTTCAATGCAAATGTGCACTGGCGTCTCCCTAATTTACACAAAATTTCAAGGTTGGCTCTGTCGCTAACTGAATTTAGAGTGAAGCATATTTTGCATGGAGTGATCAGAGATATCGTAGTATGTTTTTTCAAGAAATAACGCGATAAAAATACTTCTTTTATGAACATGTATGTGTTTAGTCTTCTATTCTAAATTTGATTTTTAAATATTAATAAAACTATAACAATTAAATCCTGATTTATTTATGTCAAAATTAAAACATAACATCGAATGGTTCATCATATTATTAAAAATTTTTTAAAAACAAATACAATATTTAATTACTTTACTACTTACACTATAGTTTTCAACTGCTGCTAATGACTGTATCAAATTATTCAACACAATAAATATTATGTTATAGATATAGAGAACTGCTATAATATAGAGAGTTAAATAAAATATGCAAGATATATACTATCAAAAAAGGCACTGATTTGGTGTTTGAATACTCTAAAAACGTTTTTTTTTATAAAAAAGTTACCTTTTATTTTGCATTAACAAATTCTCATACACAAGCCACCTAGACCGAAGTGTGGATCACACAAATTGTTGCTCCAAGCGGGAATCGAACCCGCGACACATTGCATAGCTGCTAGTTGCCCAGCCACTGCGCCAAAGCTGGCTATGAAATTATATTTTGACCTGAAGCAAGTATGCATGCAAATAGTAATGTATAAGTTAAATTATTACAAACAAAATTATCCTATTATTTATAAGAGTCAAATATACATAGTTGTTTTTTTAAGTTTTAGTTAAGTTTTGGCTTCAAATATACATAGTCTGCTTGACGATTTTAGTTCCAAAATATCTGATAGATGTTATTACGAGGCAGACATGTGTAGCAGCGAAACATTGGGTCCCTTACGGCGGTACTTAATATGGGCCTGAAAATCCAAATTTTAACATGTAAGTATGAATAGTTTTATGGTATAAAAGAAAATAGAACTCAAAACTAAAATAAATTACCTTTATTATGTCTCCAAATGCTTTCCTATTTAGCACAGAGTAAGCAGAAATCAAGCAACTCATAGCAGGTTGAGCCAATTCTTGTAAACCAGAGCAAAACAGGGCTATGCCACCCTCAATACCAGTACCAAAATCAGATTCATCCAGAGCAATATTAATGTTAGTTATTACAGGCTGCAATTCTGACAGCACTTCCATTTTTTCTGTTTTACTTGTAGCCTTTTCTAGTTTTTCAAACATTTTCTTGAGACTAGCTGTTTGAATAAAAAAGTATTTTGTTATTAGGTAAATAAGTAGGTGTAGATAGTAATGTATGTGTAAAAATAAAATGTAATATTTTTCAAGCCCCAGCATTATTTTTGTACATAATCAGACTAACTGGGTAGTTTCCTAGGTCAAAAATAAATTAATTCAATATTTCAATACAATAAAATATTGAAAAATAACTATAATTCTATTCATTGATCTATTGATACACTGAAATTTAGAGATTATATTTATCTATTTTTTTTAAAGTTAGCTATTTGACTCAAAAATACTATGATGTCATAACTCAGTATTTCATAGAAAAGTATCATTTTGACATTTGGATAAAAGTATTGAATTTGACTATACTCGGAATTTTAATTCCATTCCAGATTTGACAATTTCAGTGTTGCAACGTTATGACACGTAATAAATAGTGACGTTGCGAAATTATTCGATATGGAAATCGAATATTTCTGAATCGATTCCTCTCGTTTATAAATTTAGTCTCGTAAACTAAGTTTATCAGGAAATAAAATATTTCTGAACCGATAATTTAGTTTTGACAATTAATTAACGATCTGAGACTTTTCTTTTGTAATTTTGTGTGAAATTAATAAAAAATGCGATCATGAAGGAATGTGACAAATAAAACAGACATTTTATAAATTGTCGCCGTTATCGCTATCGCCGTTACTCTATGTAACATTTATTATGAATTGTGTCTGTGATATTTATTGTCAATTAACATATCTAGCTTACTAATTTTTTCCTCCTCTTTGAAAACATGGGATACACATTTAGACCATTCGGTAGCCGTAATTTTTTGAATGCCTTCCTGAAACTGATTTACTGATTGTTTATCGATTTTTGTGTTCATCACTACACTGTTATATGTGGTATCATTATTTCACAAAATGACAGTGGTCAATGTCAAATCAGGAATCGAATTAAAAGTCTGACTATAGTTGGAAACTACCATGTTTAGTAGAAATTACATATTATCACAATTATTTTAATTGGCCTATGGTTTGTTGGTAAAAAATATGGTTCATACACTAATAATAATGAAGATGAAATTCTTACCATCAGTTTCTGCCAGGCGTCTGTATCCTAATTGAGTTTTCTTATCATAAGGTACCATGATGCCTGCACCATGTAAAGATTTAGTTACAACTTTAGCTAATCTTTTCTTCATATTAAATTCTTCTAAAGAAATATTGTTCTTTTCAGCATAGGCTTTAACTTTGTCCATTAATTTTTGGCATGCCATTGAGGTAAATGGGGAATGTTTCTTCTCATTCTGCAAGTACTTACTGTAAAAATATTTTATGACAATTAATTTGGAACTTTAAGCAACAGGAAACAATCCATGTCTAAATGCAATAGCAGATATGAATAAGTATTATACTCCAAGCTCATATAATAAAAAAATGAGCTAAAACACTATGATTAAAAATGGAAAAAACATTTCTGAGTTTTTAATATTTGCATAATTATATTATTAGCAACTGTTCTAAAGTTTTAAAATATTTATACTTACTAAACAGCTCCAAATAAATTGCAAGCCATAGGAGTGATGTGGTAATTTTTCTCACAATCATTACTCGCAACAAACACTGGTGTCTCTTTGGGATCATCACGGAAATATCCAATATGATACTGACTATCTTTTTTCTTCTTCAGGACTGCCTGAAAATTATAGTAAATGTAAATTTATAATTTATTGCTCATAATGTGTACATCTATAGATGTACCAATAACAATATAACTATTCTTCTGAATAAATATTTTGTAACCTGGAATTCTGGAGGGTCATAGAAGAATCTCCAATGAACTAAATAAAGTTCTTTATTATCTAAGTTTGGTAACTTCCCCATCAATAATTCAAATGGACCAATTGCCATCAGATTCACACTTGACAATGTTTCTTCAAATGTTTTACCACACTCACTGATACATTCGAAAAATTTGAAGAAGTCATCAGGCATTTCTACTAAAAATAGTTCTTTTAGAAGACTGTTATCAGTACTTTTGTCATAAAATGCTATTTTTTCAGGAAGTTCTATAACTGTCTGATCTTCGGGTTCTGGTTTATCTACTTGTTCAGGTTTGCTATCTACGGTGACATCGTCACTCTTAGTCATTGTCTCCTCACTGTTGCCGCTCGGTGACAAATGTCTCTCTTGCCGAGCCGGTGATCCACGAGGAGACGGTCTGGCGTACGGTGATAAACGGCCCTTAGCACGGTTAATTGCTTTACCAATCTTTAACGGCGGATGTTTGAATCTTTTATGATGTTCCGGATTTTTCTGATAACATTTACTACTGTATTTACAGACCATTCTTGGGTCGTTAACATAGTTTTTCCATTCATCGGAATCTCCCATTTTCATAACAACTGCAGTTATTTTATTAAATGTACAGTGCTAGTAAACTTCAGTAAAGATTTTCCACCAAAAATTATGTGAATAGTTCTAAAATAAATGCGGGAAACGATGTTTTGATAAGATTGGAGTGTTTTAATCGTTTCAGACGTCATTGACGTTATACGTCAAACGTCAATGTCAAATTTGTTCGGCATTACCAAGTCCAGCTGTAAAAATGTTAATTACTATAAAATAGGTATTACACTAGATTTCAGGGCTTTTGTGTTTTTGATCACATCATTACTATCATTTTTAACACTTTATACAGAGATAAACTACTTCAAATAAATTTTGAATGACCAAGTTTTATTATGTATCTTTAAATTATTACATATTTATTATTTTCTGTTACTTTAAGATGAAAGCAAAAATAAATGCATGAAATTATATGCTTCCATTTTTCGTTTTATTCCAAAGTAAAACAATTATTAACATTGAATATGTATTGTGAAGGTGTGGCTGAAGGGATAGTGTGGCCAATCGAATAATGTTAGACTGTCGACAGTTAATACTGGTGACGGTAAAATGAACAGCCCTGAAAAAAAGTCATAATTTTTTTACATTTTTTCATTAATTTTTTGTGTCATTTGTAAGTGATTGAAGGAGTTGTAGTGAAATATCAATTTTTATAAATTTGCTGAATAATTTAAAAGATTCTTTATAGTTCGTTAATATGTCTTACAGAAAATGACTGACAATTGGTGTTTTATTTACTTTAATTGAAATAATGTCAGTAACGTGAAGTGTAGAGTACTAATTTTCAAATTCATTGGTGCGATAATTTTTCTAAATGTTATCGTATATAAATCATGCAAAATGTAGTTCTGTTTATTTTAAGTGTTTTCAATGAATGGGTGTATAGAATTTTTCAATAATTTTCCAAGGACATGTACATAATAAATCATCGTTACTCAAGAAGTTCTTCAATTTCTGCGGGCGACGAATCATGCTATTCAGCTGGTAAATAATGTATAATTTTTAAGCTTTAATTTTTATCTTGACGTCGTAACAGTTTTGTATTAATTCTTGATAAATATTTGATTTCTTTCTTTACATTCCCATATTTATTACAACCAATTTCATTCATCATTAAACATCTAAACTCATCACAGTTATTCCAATGATATAGTTAAAAATCTTCAGTAATACCTACTATGAAATCATTGAAGCATCAGCTGATTGATATTTTTTGCTAAGTACTGAGTTAACATTTAACATTGTGTATTTTTGGATAATAATGACCAGTTTTTCATTCATCTTATCTGTTTAGGACCACCAGACTTAGAGATAACATAGGTACCATTAAATTATATTATTTGCATGGATTTTATTGACAGCAATACTTAATTTTCACACACACTTTATTAAAAAAATAAGAACTTCAGTTGTTTGTATTAGATTTTATCATTACTGGAAACCAAGATTTATTTTCTATTAATTTGTCTAATGGTGACTGTTGATTTCCTAACTTACTCTACCCATAGATAAGTTATTGCTTTCTCATGAGTGCTATAAATATGTTGATATTTTAAACAATGATTCCATCCTATTTCTGTTATAATAGGTAGAACTATTATTAACATTTTACATACACAATATTATACTGAAATGTCACTGATTCCTTTGTAAAGAAAAAGATAATTTTAGATCTTGTATGTGATGTGACACACATTATGCTTAGGATAATTAACCAGCATTATTCTATAAAGAGTTGTCTATATTTATTATTTCCAACCAGAATGGATCATAAATTAGGCTTCATAAATTAGTTTATTGTCATCCTAATCTTTTCACCTTTTGTTATTTTTATTATAACATGAGAGTGTAAAAAACAGTGTCTTGCTTAGATGAACACTCTGACTTATCATTAGTTATATTGCACTTGTTTGCGCTATAGTAATATTGTGTTAAAATGTGGACTGTTTCTGACTCAGCAGAAGATTCTTCTTATGAGAAAAAGGGAAAAGTAATTGTATTTCTGTTTGCTAGGACCCAAAACCTAGCCAAACCCAAAATTGTTAGATAGCAAGCTGTATGATTAAAGAACTTTGTAATATTTTTAAATAAATGTCCTCACATCCTTTGTGTTCTCTCAATAACTATGCAACAAAGATAGGTATTTCAGAACTAAAATCAAGTGATCTTTATAATTTGTTGTTCTGATATTGGCTAGCTTAGCGCTAAACCTTACTTAATGTACCTCTGTTTGAAAATTCTGCGGAACATAGACACATCGTCATCAACATAGACAGACATTCTATCAATAAAACACAATTATAAAAATTGAAGGTAAGCCTACAGTATAATATGTGATTGTACCTATAGATATTTGATATGAATAATAATTTTCAATATCTATGATGTGGGCTGCGCGGTTATATCTACTGGTAGTGTAATTAAGTCAGGGCACTCAGGGCTACAAAACCACTTGAATACTACAATTGGTGCAGGCTATCTAAAGTATAAATACATTAGCAGCACACATGGCTGTAGCTACTATCAGGCTGGATCAACGCACTTAACTGTTGTAGAAATTCAAGGTTACATATGCATATATTGTTTAGTCTTTAATACCATACTAAAAATTTCTAAATCCTCATTAAGCCTATTAGTTGAACATTGAAATAAATCTATACTAATAGTATAAAGAGGTAAAATTTGTAAGTTTGTATGTAGGGGGTATTCTTTAGAACCGCTGGTCGGATTTCCAAAATTCCTTTACTGATTGATAGCTACAATATCCCTGAGTGCTATAGGCTGTAAAACATCACGCTACGATTAAATGGAGCCGAGCAGCTAGTGAAACCGCGCGGAAGTAGCTAGTTATAGATAAAATCATGGTTAATATGTTAAACGCCATGGAGGTCACCGGTGACCTCCATTAGTGGAGGATTTGCCTTCAACAGTTTTCTGTCAGCAGTCAAAGGCTTAATTGGGCTATTAAGTTTTAAAAGACTAAATAAGTAAATAATATTTATAGATGGACTTTAATCACAGGTGTACCAAGAACTACTACAAGTTCAAAGAAAACTAAACCAGGCGTCAAACACCCTTGCGTTGTGCTTCGCCATGTAAGTGACGTCTCTTAAGGCCGAATCCCCTATTCCAGGCCGGCAATATACATATTACTTCTCTGGCGTCACGGGTGAACACCAGTAACACCACGGTAGGTAATAACTAACGGGTAAATAAATATCGTGGGTGGCGACGATTGCTTGCTATAAGGAAATAAAATGTGGTTACTGATACTGGTGGCCTAATCTTTAATTATTGTCTATGTTATTCCGATACTTAGTGCTTCTACTTAAAAAAAAACAGTCAGATATTCTTCATTTAAAATCTTACAAATCACGTAGTAGTTGTCTTAAATACCACCAATAACTATTAATTAATTTCCTTATTTTTTCGATAACAAGACGGCAAATAAATTTTGTAGGAAGCGAAATTAGCCACAAAACCGTTATTAAAGTGTGTCTCGCAGGGATTTCGCAAGCAATAAATCTTGAGTTCCTAATTGCCCACCGTTTGACACGCGGGCCGACCAACATGAGCCAATGCCTTGGGAATTACGTCGATCGGTATAAATCCATTCAGATAATGTATCGTTTATTTAGGAACTTTATTATATATCGGAAGATTATTTTAATATATGAAGTAATTGTGATAATATATTTAACTAAAGTGAAATGACGAATGACTAATAAAAAACCATATGCGTTTCATATCGTTAAATCTCCATATTTTAATATGGTTCCACAATTATAGAAAACTACTCATATCATCAGCACGCAAACGAAATGATCATTACTGCCGTGCCAAGATAAACGCAAGCCACAATTTTGTTAATAAACATTAAACGTCGGTTTAGGGTAAAGCGATCGATTTCCATAGTGAACTGGAGGCCGATAGTTATATGATTGGGTAACTCGTTCAATTAAAGTAAGCCATTTACCGTGCAGTCCCAAAGGCAAACGAAATGGGTTCTACTCAACAGGAACATGAGATTGCTATATTACGGCTATTTGCAGCCATCGTTAGGTCTTGATAGGACTTCTTTTGATGAAACGAGATTATGAGAGTGTGGGAGAGCCAAGCTTCGGCATGAACGGGTAGGATCGACCGAATTGATGACACGGCCTCATAGAAAACCGACGTGAAACAACCACAGCGTTGTGTTTCGCCGTGCAAGTTAGGTTACTGAAGGCTAAATCCGTACCCCTCCCCCCATCCCTTCCCAATCCTTAAATACCTGACACCCTTATCCCTAAGAGGTTGGCAACGCAGTCGTAACTCCTTTAGTGTTGCGGGTGTCGATTGGCGGTGCTGATTGCTTACCATCAAATAATGTGTCAACTCGTTTGCCGACCTATACCATAAAAAATGAGAATTATTGTAAAACCGCTGGGCTCTTTTTTATAAACATTTTAAATGTCGATGTTTTTCTAATGGCTTACCGCCCTCTTGACAGAAAAAAGATGAATAAACAAATCCAAATCGGGGGACCCTTTAATAAAGTCAGGGACCTTATGAATCACGTTTGTAAATCCTTCACCATGCGCATGGTATGCACGGTGTTAATATTTTCTTGTACGCTTGCCAAGTTTCACTGAATTTTACTATTGTACGGCCAACAACAAACTTCAATTCACAGGTACCTATACCTATGTACCTATTATAAATTCTACTTGTAGGTTTATTAATCAAACTGTAAGTTAAATATCTTTTATTTAACTTGTCATATATACTCAATTAACTATGTGAATTTTAATTGCCTTTCATGAATTTGTTTTTTTATCTATGTGTAATATAATTTCCACCTTATTTATTTGTTAAACGCCCGCCGCTCAATATACAGTATCAAATAGATTTTGCACCGAATTATCAAAACGAAACGGTACGGAACTAAACAACACAATGAGCATTAACTTGGTTGAATTGTTGAAATTGAGCCAAAGGTCTGAGCATTAGTAAAAGGCAATTTTTGCTTATTGTTGTCGGGTCCTTTTATAAATTTTAATGTAATCATCAAATAAATCGACACGAAGAAATTTTGTTTGTTAAAACACAATGAAGGATTTTTAATATTTTAAAAAACAAAATTTATATTACGTTTCTTATTGAATCGTACTTAAAGTCTTATTATATAAAAGTCCAGCCGTGCTCGCCATTATAAAATTCAATATTACGTGGAACATAATTCACGTTCCTGTTCCTATCCTCTGCCTCTTTTACCCGTAAAATATATATTTAGGTCCAGATTTTTCGCGTCATAAAGTTTTATAAAATTGCGAATTTCCTTTGTTATGTTGGTGCATACGTTTAGTTGTTAACGAAGCAAACATCGCCTGTATTGTGGGTAATGATTTGAGCTGTTACTTCTTCATGAGTGACCGAGTGCTCCACCTGCGTCGCTATATTTAGTTTCATTGTGTGTTGGGTGTAATACATCGATCTGCCGTGCAATTTAGAACTGAACGTTGTGTACTTATATCTACGTTATAAACTATATTGTTCCTCAATAACTGCGGAAATATATTATTGGAGTAAAACTATCACAGAAGTATGACTTAAAACGTCTGAATAATTACTACTTAGAGTTAAAACGAAACACAACATAGGAGCAATAAATACTACCTAATTGGTAGTCGAGGGATCTATTGGAGAACAACGTTTTCCACTATTCACATGAGATTAAATTTATATTCTACCGCGCGATCTCCCGATTTGAATTATAATATAATATATTGCAGTCAATGAAAAATTACAATACTTTTTCACCGTGTCGATATGCAGATGATATGGATCAACTAAAATAACTTGTTGTTTTATTTGTTCGTTTTATAACAGGAGAGAGAATTCATTTTTGACATTTATTAACGACTGTGCTTTGCCTACTACGAGGATTCGTGTATCTGTTTCTGCATCGCGGAATTCATTTGTTATGTGATGCAAATTAATAATAAAACTTGTATTGCACAAAACTTGCGAGACAACACAGCAATTCCATAAAATGGAAAGGCCCTTGTGTCTATTTTCATAAGCTTTGATAACGTTTCGTTTCTCAGGGCTATCTGGATTAAGTACGTGTACATAATTGGGACAGGCACCCTCGTCGGTTTTAGCCTCTTTCGTGAATAACCGTTCATTGTTTTATTCAGCCGATGTTATGAGAGCTAAATACTTGTCCTACATAACGACAGGTAGTTTATTCTTCAGTTTAAGTATCCACGATTTATAGACGAAGTATTGCTATTTTGTTAGTCATAAATTTGTCAGACAATATCTTTAATTTTGAAACGTTTATATTTATAAAATCAATAAAAGATAGAATATGAAAGATTGAACAAGAAGAAAATTCAATTATTGGATAGATCTACCTATCGCACCTGTGGCCTGAGTGCTTTCCGAATATTATCTTGATCGAAGGATCAAATGGAATTCGATATTAAATTTGGGTTGGCTATGTCTAGAAACGTGAACAACACCTAAACCGACCGATATTATACTGTCATAATATTCTTGCTGGGTGTCATATATCATTATACTTCTTTGCAATCTTACTTTGAAAGTTGTGGTTTTCAGAAGTCATTATTTTGACACTACTCTGTTTTTCGTGCACTGGCTTTTCTTATAGTATACTTATTCATAATTCGACACAACAATCTTATGCCTGGTGTAGTTCAACGTGAAAATCTGTTAAAACTGAACATTAAAAATGAAAATTTGAAATGTAACCATTTCACAATATGCACGCCGTGTCCCAGATATGTCGGGAGTGTAGTCCGATGCAACTGGCGAACGGAAATCGCCTAGCGACAACATTGTTGTGCGGTCTCTCTTGTTCGACTCATGAAGTAGGTACGCTGTACCTACTAACATAAATCAAATCCACATGATCGATACGTTGGAGTCTACTAGCGCAGAATTTACTTTAATAACGATGTTTGATTTTAACAAACACAATTTCGGGTACAGATAGGATTATCTCTAACAAGAGCGTTGATAGTATAGGTAGTATGTTTTAGCTAAAATGTTAGTCACGCCGATAGGTAGACTCTCTGATAAGCGTTGATCTCATAACCTAACCACCGAAACATACTAATCCGTATAAAGTAATATGAAAGTGAAATTATAGAAATATGTAGTTACAACAGTGATTTTTGTTTGTCCACAGGCGATGAACGTTTGACCGCGCGATGGATCAGCAAGATGGATGGAGTGGCGGAGAGTCGGTTGCGACCGAAAACTCTACTGAAAATTCCCGGGCCGCGGAACGCGACCGGGTGCGCATCGAGTTCTATGCTACTTATGACGTCATGACGGGCGTGCGAATAGCCGCCACCCTGGGCGGCTTCTTTGCATTAATGGTATTTTTGATCGTTTATAAAAGCCGTAGTAAATCTGTCAAGGCTTTAAACGATCCAAAAATAGTAGAAATGGCCGAAGCTGTTGTCGCCGAAGAACAGGCAGTCGAGGAGGAGAGGCAACTGACTGCAGCGCTAGAAGAAGCGCTATCAGAGCGCGCGCGCTCTCGTCCGTCAATAACTGAGGAGCCACCTTGGCCACGGACAGCACGCTTTGCGTCATATGGAGGAGGCTATGGAAGCTTGTTGACACCGCCCCGCCGGTTATCGACCGCTCGCGGTGACTCGCTTCCTGGTTCAGCCTTACGTTTTGCAGAACGTCGGTCGTCAGCTGGTCCCCGCGACCGGCGACTGAGCTCAGCGACCTGTTCCAGTTCCGGAAGCTCTTACTTGGAAAGACGTGGTTCGTCAGTAGTATGTGCTTTGCCTGAACGCCGACTATCTCCTTGTCCTAGTGAGAGACTTGCCCCTCTCGCGTCAGTGGGTAGCGTAGGTCCGTCGTATGCGGTAGAGTGTGAATTAGCGTCAGTGGGTGCGGATTCAGTTTTTGCAGAGGACGAAGCGGACTCCACTGATGATGAGGTGGAGCAATTTTCGACAGATAGTGGAGGTGGTGAAGCGACATTAGTAGGCGAGTGCACGGAGCTTTCGAGTCGTCCCACACCATTGCCGCTGCGGTTAGATCGTGCTTCACACTCACGAGAAACGTTGTTCTAGTCTATGCCAAATGGTGATGTAACTGTTGGCAAATTAATGTTAGTTAAACATATTAAAATATCGACATTTTCCATTTCTAGATAATTTATTTGTATTTTAACATATCATAAAATTTGACATATCATTTGGTTTTAATTACCAAATTAAATTTTTATTCAAATTCACTTTATACATAACCTAATGTAAAACTGCTAACAGCTTCTTGAAAGGCAAGGTTTTATGTTTTTTTCGCTTGCATTTATGCTTTTAATTTGTTTAATGAGAAGTAGAAAATGTGTCGATATTTTAATGTGTGGAAATTATTGTAAATAGATTGTTTTTGTTGATATATTGATGTTTCATAATGTTGATGTTCCCAGCCCATGGAAAAATTGTAAACAACGTACTAATTACTTGTATATGTTGCGTATGTGTAGAGACACATAGGTGGCATGTTAGATAAAGTTTTGCTCATGTGTATTTATTTTGCTAACGGCTGATCAATACAATAACGAACATTATCCACGCATACTCATCAGATCTGGTTCATTCACCATAGTGTTCGATTCGATGTAAAAGTAATATGTAAAGATTTGCCGAATTAGTCATTTGTAGTTACATTAAATTAATGTAATTATTTAATATAATAGTTTTCGACGAATTTTTAACTTCTGTAAATTGCCACTCTATTTACAAAGTTTTCAAGTCTACCGGGCTAACTGCCAACCCCACTGAAAGTGCGGTTGATGATCTAACCAAAGCATTGCCGACTCACATGGTGTTTGTACAATGTAGATATTAACTTTTTAGGGTAGATAGTCGTCAGTGAAGTCAATTGCCGATGTGTATTTGTATAATACTTATTAGTTTTGTAATCTACAGTTTTACTTAGAAAGCAAGGGCATAGAACATCAATACGTCCTCTGAACAATAAAATATGAAGTTGGAAGCGGCCTAAGATGTTGCTCGTACCAATGTCATTTTCCAAGTAAACTGCCACTGTAAGTTCTTGTTAGTAACGATGTTACTCGGACACCGGGGTTTTATTGATTCTGGGTGTTTCGATCCCGCCACAGCCACACGCGGGCCCAGTAGATTGATTACGCATAAGTCGTTTTTATTACGATTTAGATTTACGTGTTAGTTTATGTAATGTTCGTTGCTCGAATTAAAAAGAGCTCCCTGTAGTCTGTAAAATGTTGAAATGTATGTAAAAAATTGTAAATATAAAACACAACTCATTTATTGTTTCATTCCTAACTCCTAGAAGTAGGTAATTTGTTTATGTAATGATTTTAAGTAATGAATTAATTTAGTGAATAAAATTAAAGCTTCTGTTTACATTGGTAAGCAATTTTATATCGAATTTAATTTCCCCGCCTACTTCAATTCCTTTCAATTACAAGCTTAATGTTAAGCTGTTCGTTGATTTTTGAGTTGAAATCTTGAGTTTAGACAACGGCGTATGTGGCGCCATTAGCTAAGCTTTGCTGAAGTTATAGACCATACAAAGGAAATATCGAGGGGTGTAGCAGATTACCAAAAAATATCACCATATTATGTAAATGATAAAAAACACCTAGAACATCGTGTCTACGGTTATGTTTGGGCACCTCAGATTGGGCACTAAGAAACTAAAACTTTACAAACGTCAACTTAAGTAGCCCTTGTGTATTTAGGGGGAGGGGGAAAAACAACAAAAACAATTCGATGGAAATGTGTACGCGAATGACGTTGAAAGGATTTCCTTGCTAACGACTTCCTCGAGATATCTTGTATTTATAACAAATAGTTGTGGGTCAATAGGTTGATGACACCAGGTAGGCTGCGTGTCGGTAAGTACACTAGCTGTTCTATTTATGAAGCTTGCCATCCCTAATTCAAAACACTTTGTCAATGGGTTAGATCCTAAACAGTCAAATTAAATGTAAGGTAGGTAAGTATACTGTACAAAACTTTCGCAAGCTCAAGAACTATGTTCTCAGTTGACAAACTCTACTTATCGATGAAAAATTAAACACCTGATAACTGGCTTATAAAAAGTTGTAATTAATCGGTTTCTGTAATTATTATCTTGGAAACCTTCGACAAGAGGGTGGAGAATAATGCCGATAAGTAATAAATAAATTTTTAGGAGTCTCAAAAGAAAAAGTAGGTATGTGCAATAGGCTGCCTGGATGTCTTTCTCAAGCTGATATATCTAAGCTAATATGCAAGGAGAAAACTGTTAGGTGTTTACGCAGAGCACAAAAGAGCGGCAGACAGATGACCTACAACTACGACACATTTGAATTTCGCGGTTTCAATACTTTACTGGTTGGTGGTATAAAAAAAACACACAAAAATAAAATTACTTATACGCCTTAAATTTAAGGTTATTATATAATCGTACCTAACGAATACGTACATCTTTGAATAATGATTATCACAGTTCAACGAAGCAAAATCATGCGATCAAATAAAAATGGGTTGTTCTTACACCATGTTTTCGAACGATCCTGCTTAGTTGTCATCAAATGTCATCGTCCGTTTGACAGACACTGTCAAAGTGTCAAGTAGAAGAGGAGTGGATTGTTCGGTTTTGTAATTGTTAATTTCATCTATTTTAATTTCCGTGGATAGAAAATAAGCAGAAAACATGGACGACGATTTACCGACCGATTTCCAGGTCATCGTTGTGGGGACAGGTAAGCTATATTATCCTTGTAATGCTGCACCGGTCATGATGGCGATAGCAGCCTACTTATCGATCCTTTTTTTTCGTAGCTGTCTAGTCATCAATTTTACGTTTGAAAATGCTTTAAGCTATCCTGATTTGGAAAAGCGCAGATTATTGAACTACTTGAAAGTATTTTACCTGAAAATAATTGCATTATGAGGCAAACTACACCCCATTACTGCAGCTTAGTCATTAATTAAATATTTGCACTGTCTAGCTGCTGTCATTGTCTGGCTACACTGAATTTATGAAAACGTTTGTCGGTTTCAGTATGTAAGTTATGAAACTTGCTGCAATTCTAAGAAATATTTAGAAGGAAAAACTATACCTAATAAACCACTAATAAGATTCCTATAGGATTTTTTATCTTTTTAATCCTATTGGATAAAACAATATCTTTCTTGTGATAGTTATTTACTTATTGGTATCTACTATAATAAACCTCTATTCTCATTATTACTAATTATAACAAAAATGTGCATTGTTTGTTTCTACTTAATTCTTATGATGAAATATTGAAATAAAAAATATTTCTTATTTAGTACTTAGGAAAAATGTGCCTAATAATGAAAGTTATTATTCAGTATGGACCCTTTGTTACAAACTTTACATGATAAAAAATATATAATTATGGATATTGGATTTGGATATAAAAGTGTATAATGATATTTACACCAATAAAAACAGAATTAGTATTGTATTATTTATTTTATGAAGTAATATAAATAGGCTTGTAATTGGATTATTTGCAATATAATTGATTTAGATTTTTTTCTATAGTTAAGATTTATATAACAGCCTCTAATTTTTATTTTGGAGATAAACACTATTTTCATTTTACTTTAGTTATTTATTTAGAAACTAAAATTAAGTCATGATATCAGTTTTTAATTTGATTTTTTTTTATTTATCACATGCTAATTTATGATAAAACAAATAATAATGCTCAGAATATCTTATTCAAAAAATACACTCATAATTAACTGTCATGGGATAGAGTAAAGGAAATAATTGAAAATGTTCATTGTAGTAAAACTTTAATTACAAAATACAAAACACTTTTTTGTGATACTGTTGAAGAAGAAGGCTAAGTAAAAAACTGAATACACTTAGAAGAATTTGAAATCTTAATGTCTTTCTTTAGTAAAAGGTACTTTACTACATTAGTTTTTTTTGTTGTGTCCATTGGAGCTAGACTTCCTGAGATGTAGATAGGCCATTGTGAATAGCATAAATAAAAAAAAAAAACTGAGAAAAATAACAACTTTAGGAAAGGACATCAAATGACTATTGGTACATGATCTTACAAGAAAAAAGCGAAAATACTTTTATCTATTGTCAAATTTTTTTTTTAATTTAGATCAGTTGGAAGGCTAATATTATGCTTTATTTCATCCTATTTAGTGGCTTGTCACAGCTTCTGGGGGGTCTGAATATTTTTTGCATACAAACCTGGTCATAAAAATAATAAATACTAAAAAAGAGAATCCAATTTGATTTAATATTTAAATGAAAATGTATGTAAGTACTTTACTTACCACATTTCAGTAATTCAGTTTAGTTAGATATGTTAGCTACTTTCGTTTCATCCGCTGCTTTTCTCGGTTGTATTGTGAGTTTGTGATGTTTTAGCCAAAAGCCCTCCTCAAAAAATGGAGTATCCAATAAAAAACTAATTATTCAATTCAAACCTGTAATTCTGGAGATTGGAATTGTAATACAATAATTGTATGCAATTCCTATTTTACATTTTATTTGTATTTGTTTAGGGATGGTAGAGTCCATAGTGGCCGCGGCTTGCAGCAGAATAGGAAAGAATGTCTTGCATCTAGACTCCAGTGACCATTATGGAGGTCTATGGGCTTCATACAATTTTGATGGTCTACAGAAATTTATCAAAGAAGTTAACTCTGATCCAAAAAGACAACTGCAAGTCTACAATTTAGCTGAAAAATGGTATATTGAAAAGTAAGTATGGTTTTTTGTGATATTATTCATGTAAAATAAACTTCATTGTGTTATTGCAGCAATTTGGATTGTGTATTTGATCAATGAACATAGTAATTGTTTTTCAAAATTCTTGATTTTTATATGTCTGTATATGTGACTTATTGTGTGGTACATGGTAGCATATCTTGCTAAGATATACATATTATAGGAATACGTATTACTTTTTCACCAGACTTGGTTAAATGCTAGTATCTAAATACCAATATATAGCATATTTCTATAAAAAATAGGGAATCGGCACAAGATGAGAAAAAGGAAGAGGGTGGAGAAGAAAAACCGGAGGAGGCTAAAG